GATAGGTCTACTCCTCATGTTGGCGATGACCTGGGTACCCTTTCACCATGCTGGCCTGCAGACTTCACCTCGTCGATTCGGGTTACTCAAACCTAGCCATGGCTTATGCTCTCTGGGCCCTCGAAACTACGCTTCGCCTCGCCGACTCGGGCTACATCTTCACTCTGAGGGGGCCCCACTACTGCTGCCTCAAGGAGACCTAACCGCAATTTGTGCGAATGTGGCAACTTTTACCCATGAGTTGCTGAACATGCACTCGCCTTCTGATGCGCATCTGCTGCTTGCAAGTGATCCACCTGAAAACTGAGCATGTCCACCTGAAACTTTGCTGGTGTAGGGCCGCCATGCTCCAACGGCTATCGTAACCACATTCCTAACAAGGCCCATGCGTCTGCCCCCGCATGAGGACAACAACCAATGCGTTTGCACCCACAAGGGAAGCTGTTTTAGGGTCATTGGAATGGGAACGCGAACAATGAGTGTTCTCTTGCTAGGCCAGATAAACAATCTGCTCAAATAGTGTACCCACATTCCTATCAAGGCTCACGCATCTGCCCCCGCATGAGGACAACAACCAATGCGTCTGCCCCTGCAAGGGAAGCTGTTTTAGTGTCATTGGAATGGGGACACGAACAATGAATGGCCTCTTACCAGGCTTGATCTGAATTTTGCTCGATCCTGGGTGGAAGTGCCTAGGGACCRCACCCCACAAAATGCTGCTTGTCGAAATGACCGCTTCAACTGGCTCTGGGCTAATCTGTTGAAAACCAACTGCGACTGCAATTGGCCAACTTGCTCTGATACCAACTGTCACGGGGGTAGTTCTACAGCAGAAGAAACCCGTGTGGCGTTCTGGCCAGGACAAGCCTTTATGCGCTCAGAGGCTAGGAGTTTCTCGATGGGATGGCTCCACCAAAGTCAGTAGCACTGGATCATGACCTCAAGTCCAATGGTCGGGGCACTCTTCTGGCTCAGACTGGTCCATGGGAGGCGCCGCTTACGTGCTAAAGGGGGACAACCATATTGCAAGGCGACCATGCGCCAATGAGGTGACTTGGCACCGATGTGAAGGGTCTCCTGTATGCCGATGATGACAGGCACCTGTGTGCCATGACGATAGGCAACCGCTTGGGTCGTAACACACCCGTGCGCTAGGGGCAATGGGATAGCTCAATCAGCTTGGGCAAGGGGCTGGCGAGGTGAAGGGACATGCTTGAGCCAGGCCCGCATGCCAAGCCTCCCTTGAGTATCGGTAGCGCAGTGCCGGTCCAACACTGTTTCCATGAGCAAGTGTGCACCCATGAGGAACCCTGGTAGCCATGCTAGCCGTTAACTAGGGCCGCTCCGCAAGGGGATGAAGGTCTAGGAGTGCCAAGGTTAGGCACCCAAGGAGGTCGACCACCCCTCCTCAAATAGTACGTTAAGCTTTTGGTGGTCTACCTGAAGATGGCATCAGTTCTCCCAAAAATCTTACAGGCGAAAATGACGGGCATTGTGCCTAACGTAAGCCTGCCAAGCGTAGGCAAGGCTAAGCCTGTTTTGAACCGTAACACAGTGGCACAATGTTGTAATCATCTGAGGATGCGCAGGAAATCAGGAAGAATCCATTGCCAATTGATTTGACACCCATTTTGCCCTTCAGTCCCCACTCCATCATACGACCAGAAATGGACTTAATGGGTTCTGGCTCACCCAGAATTTTCCCAATAAGGCACAGTGACCATCTGTCGGACTCATCCTTTCGACCTTTCCTAATTTGATCGAGGTCCACTGGTTTGGTCGTCATCGAGCTATTGTTGGGAATAGGCCCAGGCTTCCGACGATCACCAGTTTGATCAGAATGTTGACCAAAGTTGAGGCATCTCTTAGCCTTACTGTATTCACCCTTCTCAAAGACGCTTTTGTTTCTTCTATCCAAACCCATTATTTCCACTGGAATAGAACACCTAATGTTTTTTGGATCTCCTGGTTGTTGTTTATGTTTATATCGTGTTCACAGTCATGAGTTATCGAACCCAGCAAAAAATTAATTCTACCCTTGATCTCCTCTTCAGTCAAGTTATTCACGCATACTCTCGGGGAATGGTGCTTTAGGAGAGCTTCCCTGAAATTTAATTTGTTACAGATGGTTATGTTATCATCATAGAATTGACTTTGTCGATTCATCTTCTTATCTCCGCTCAGTGGCGCATTTATAGCGCTATTGCATTAAGTTCCCATGCACGTGGACATCAACACCTCCTCGGAATTGTCCTCGTCGTTCCAATGCTTGGAAGCAATCTCATGGCTACAATTCCCAGAATGATCATTAAAGGAGATAATCTCCACAGATACGAGTTTTTCAATGTTTGAGAGTTCCTTATGGGAATTAACATCAACACTGTGGCCATAAGGGAGAATATTATCTATAGCTTCTCCCTCATAGGGAACTTGCAGAGTAACTCCGGAATTGATGCCACTGTCTTCCAAAGGAAGAAATGGAATCTTCGTGCCACTCCTCACAGAATCAAACGCAGGGGAGGAGCTGTCATCAATTGATTCGGTCCTGTGAATCTTTTGCTGGGCACGCATGAGTTTCTCATTATCGATAGGACTCTTATCTAGTCTTTCAGAATGGCTCGTAAGCTCATACTTCCGGCGGAGAAGAGCTCCACCGCTCCGAGACCAAAAGAAATGGCAAACACTGTATCCACGGGAATTACCACCGGACATGTTGAATTTTTTGTTAGGGAGCACTTTAGCCAACTGCGAAGAGGTGAAAATAATCTTTTCACCTTGCCTCAAAGAAACCTGCCCATGGAAGCCGTTACTGCTTAAGCTGCTGAGGGGCTTGTGATAATCCTTAGAGGACAATGGATCCAAGCCATGGGTAGGCCGGTCATTCAGACTACGCCGTAAGCAGGCAATATTCCCGCCATTACCCACTTTGCTTGGATGATTTTCTTTCCACCAAAGCAAAGCCTCCGGGAACTTGTTTCTTCGCTTTTTCCAATAGCCCTTGATACCCATCTAGTGGTGTCCGGGAGACGGAGGGAACTCCAAAATGCCGAATCACACAGGATAAAGCTGCACCAGGAAAACACACCAGATCACTGAAAACAGGAATGATAAGAAACTAAAATACTAAAACAAATAGCCAAAGGAAATTCTACAACTAAACACAAGAGTGAGAAGAAAAACGAAAAAACTTCCCTGTCATGGTGAAAGCCAGCTCCTTTTCGGTATCAAACTTGATCCTAGCCAAGAAGGACTCTTAGGCTTCATCTTCATCGTAGCACAAAAGGATTCTATGATGGATAAGTTGGGCCATCACCTTTGCTGTGTTGCTCAGCTCGATAGCTCCTCTGCCCCAAAGTGAAGTTTTTTTAATCCGAAAAAACTTTAGGCTAAATTACATATATCTACCCCCAAAGTGCCAGATACGTATCCTCAACGAGTTCACATCTGCGCCCCCTTAAATCATCCTCAACTTTCAATTACAACATTTCAATACTTTGAACTCTCAAAAATCATCCATCCATTAGTATTCCGTCAATTAAACATTGCATAATGTCAAAAATATCTTTTATGTGTATTTTTTAGATCATTGTAGTACGGAAAACTTGAATATGTTATTTATTGTTCATGTGAGAACGTCATCATGGGGAAATGTCAATTACTTGAAAATGATCTAAAAAATACACTATAAAGGTATTTTTTGGCATTATATAATGTTTAACCGATGAAATACTAACAGGTGGACCAATGTGTCTATTTTTTAGAGTTCAAGGTACTCAAATGTTGCAATTGAAAGTTCGGGGTGCCTATCTGTAATATACCCAAAACTTTATATAAAAAAAGGGAGAATGATGATTCAACCCAGGGTCAGAAATTTTAGGCCCAAAGTATAGTTGGGATAAGTGCCAGCTCGAAATTGATGCCAATTCACAGGTGGGCATTGGTGTATAGAGTGGGAGTATTTGACATGACACATGGCACCTGAGGCCAGCTCAATCGTAACTCAAACACTATCTATCTTCTTCATACATGTGCCCATCAATTCTAATAAAAAGTGTTAAATTTAGACATGATTTTTAGTAAAAAAGTTCCTAGTCCAAAATATATGGGGCTCATGTAATTCAGCTTCCTAATTTAAATAGAAGTCATTATGAAGACTTTTAAATTTAAAATAAATCTGATTTAATTATTTAATTAAATATAATTATTAGATAAATAGTAAATCTCAAATAAAATAATATTATTATAAAAACAAAAAAAATCCAAATAATCCATAAATGTAATTGCCCGATTCTTGGGTCATTCTCTAATTCAGAGTAAAAACTAAAAAGAGAATTTTTCAGAATGACAACCCAAATTACAAGAGAGATTTATGGAGCATAATTATAATTACCTGAAGTTGGAGTAGAGACACTAGAGCACGATAAATAGGAATGGGCTGCGGAGCATTGTAAAGAGAAGTAGACTCTCCATGTAGAAAACTAGAAGCAGGCGCGGGGGCGGAGACTGGTGGCATAGAAACTGCTTTATGAATAATGCCAACAACACATTAAATAACATCTCTTACCATTCCTGTAGATCTGCTAAGTAACAAACAACACTATGCACATTGTAGGTTTGTGCCACTTGTTCATAAACAATTGTTTTCAAAAGGGGAATCCAGATTTTTTATCCACAACAACTCTACCTATGTCTACCCATATAATATCGCAATTACATCCTAGAGATCTGGAGTCGAAAAACAGTGTCATCTTATTCAATCAAAGTGTTGTAGATAAATGGCACAAAACCTAAACATGCATGTTATCACCTACTAGCGGATCCGTTCTCTTTCCTCTCTTTATCATAAAAAAATATTATTTTCCTCATGGAATATTTATAAAATTATTATATTATGATATTCACATATGTCAATCTATTTGAAAGTTAAGTAGATTAATTGTGAAATTACAAGTATACGTACATCTATCAATTCTAATGGGTTCTTAACGGGTTGGGTCTAGTTGGATTCTTCACATTTTCTACTTCTTGGGTTGAAACGGGGTTACCTTGACTCGAACCAATCCCACCCAGTGACAGTACTAAGAAAATTACCTTGGAGAGGAATGTCAGGAACTTGGCCTTCCCGAACATCGCCACTGTTGGAGATACCGTTGGCCGTCATTAATGAATATTCGGTGACCCAAGACTCCCGGGCGATCTTCTCCAACGAACTCCCATAAAAGGGAATTTTGATCATCTCACCGGCAGCCACAGTTTGGTTGGATGAGGTGAATAGTGGGATGGAGTTTGCTCCCAATAAGGACGACAGATTCTCAACTCCGAACAGCATTTGGATGCTACCCAGAGTCGTCTTGTTCGGAGCTCTGTAGCTAGCCATAGCTTTACACATTGCAGAAGCTATTGTGCGTTGCAAATGACAAGGGCATAAAAAGAAAAGTCTAGAAGGTCGATCCAACAAATTTGAAGCGGCTTGGACAAAAGAAGTTGGATTTAAAGAACACCATGGAGGCCCACAACTGAATCCTTCATTAGTAAATATAAAAGAGTTAGAAACTAATGGAGAGATACTGTAGGAAGAAACTTACTGGAAACAATGAGCATGCGTTACTTGGTTGAAATAGGGTGATCGCAATACTTACTTCTTTCAGACTAGTGAAATACGGTAGCTTTGCAATTGAAGAATATCTTTTTAAAAACTCAGCAGATCAATCCGAAGATGTTGGCATTTAAATAGTGGCCCTTGCATGCTTTACGCCTTTACCTTGAACAGTTTACCTTTTTTCTATTCATCCCTGTTATATTCCCGAAGGGACGAAATGGTAGTTTAGAGGGAGACGAGAGACCTCTGATAAAAATCAAACGGTTTAACTAAAATTCTTCGGTGATGATCCTCTAACAAGCAAGCAGTACAAGTACATATAGATTTCTAGTCTCACAGGATTATTCATAACTATACCTGTTCATGGGCCAGATAGTCCAACGGCCCGGCCCGCACCCTGATCGGGTTTGGACAAGTAGTTAGGCCTGCAGGTCGGGCCCAAAACACCAAGCCCGATTGTGTTTTGGGCCAGGCTCGAGATTTGTCAAAAAAGCCTCGGACTGATTTATATAATATAAAATATATGATATTTATTAATATATATATATGTATTAATAATTTAATATATACATTTTTTATTTTTTTCTTTATAATCTCTCTCTCTCCTCAACCACTTCAGCAATAGCAGTGGCATGAGTTTTAGACTTCGGGTTCAAGCCCAGGCCCGAGTTTCGGGCATTTTATGAAAACCAGGCTTGGGCTCAAGTTGTAGGCCCGATGATCAGACCGGGCTCGGGCCTTAAAAAATCTGTTAATGAAAAATAAAAGCCCAGCCCTGGCCGGCCCATAAACATGTCTATCCATAACCCAATACATCCATAAACATAATCGTATGACTCTCTCACAACTAAATTACCCATAAAACTCGTAACAATATCTAAATAATCGGTTCACTCTATAATTTGTTCTTTTCAAGGATTTACTTTTTTACTTGGTATGACCCAATAAGCATCGTTTCTCCTTAATATCCGGATGGGAAGGCCCACAACATTTCCACCTTCAAAAACCATTACAATGATTGAAAAACACTGTTCCAATTAGAGAAAAGCAAGGAAAACCTATACAAGTTTTGTTAGATATTGTATAATTTCTTTTTTTTTTTTTTCAAACCAAACATTGTTTTATAATTGATCATGGACCGGGTTAGATTATATATGTATGTATGTATAAAATTTAACATGATATATATGATTCATATACATGCATATTTATATATACATGTATATGTATTATATATGTATGCATATTTGGGCTGCTAGGCATAAACTAGATACAAAAATTAATATAATGAGGCTCGAACATTTGTTAACTTGGCCAGGCCATTCTTCTAGGCTGGGCTAGAAACGATCACCCATGGTAACAACATGCCCCTAACCATGGCAGAAACTGAATTCGTAAAAGAAAATAGCAACAATTGATCCAAGTCAGTTTGTTTATCAAATGGTCCCTTATTCAGTTTGGGAAGAGTACAAATACAAATATGTACTGTATAAAACAACGTTTAGAAATATAATACACAGGTTTTTACAATGTATTTATTTGTATTTGCACTCTTCCCAAACTGTACACCAGGCTCAATTTGGAAGGAGTACAAATACAAATATGTAGAGTGCATAATCTTGCATTTTGTTTTAAGGAGTACAAATACAAATATGTAGAGTGCATAATCTTGCATTTTGTTTTATTTTGTATGTATTTGTACTCCTTCCAAACTGAGCCCTAAGGACTCTAATAATTCCCCATAATTCTTCTATATCTTGTTCCAAGTTCCCACTTCCATGAGCTGCAATCAACAAATTAACAACAATAGGAAGCTATACTAAAATACCAAATACCATGTGGGTAGATATTGAGAACTTGAGCAGGGTTGGTGCCTAACAACTTCCACCAGGTTTTTACAATCATACTTTATCTTCTCTCAAAAAAAAAAAAAAATCTAATCCATATATCATCAAAACCTTTCAAATTCAAAATATTCCACAAACATCCCCAATCCATTTTCAAGGTCCAATTTGCACACCACACCCCTCAGCCCATTTCTTTTCCTCTCTTCCACCACTTCATTTGCTATCAAAACACAATCACTAATTGGCCGATCTATAAAAGTCATCAAACACTTCTAACATGCTCATACAGTCAAACATAGTTTCCAATCATGCAAGGAAGGTGACCAAAATTAATAGTTACTCCACAAAGAGATTATTCAGAAACAAAATAACATTACAATCAGTTTTGTTTTTATCATTAACAGATTCTTTTGAACTTTATTAATTAATGAATTAATAGAGCAGTATGTTACATCAGGTCTTCTTGATTGAATCTATCCCATTTCAATCCAATCAGCATGACTAATGACCACGCTCCAGCTAAGCAGATGAAGCTGATAATGCATTGCCATTGTTGGTTGCATCTCCAAGCTATGAACTTCTATCAGGAAAACTAACAAGGCGGTATCAAACACTCGCAAATAACATTATATTTATCCTCCTTATTTCTCATAGTCATAGTGTTGTATAATGTAGAGATAACTTTAAATTAAATTTGAACAAGAAAGCAATAAGAAACTATAAAGAACATATTTGCACTTTTGATCAAACAAAACTAGGTCAATCAGAACCTCGACGTGGAGACGATCTACATAAGCGCCAGTAATCCAACCGCCAACCCGAACAGCTGCTGCTTCTCCTTCAACGACCTACCCAGCAATTGAAAGGGATAAAAAATAAAGACCCAAAGATCGTAACTGTTATTGAAACAAAACATGTACTTAGAAAAATCAAATTTGAGAGAGAAATCAAGCAAAGAAAGCCAAATAAACAGGGGGCGCAATCAGGGCATAATTGGGATGAAAGGAGCGTACAACAATGAGATCTTTCAGATTACTAGCTTCCAAGAGTTCCAGAATGTAAGATAGAACCGGCCGGTTCGCGACGGGAAGCAGCGCCTTTGGAACTTCCTGCATTTGAGAGAGCAAAACGTGAACAAAACTGTGGGAAAGCAAATATTAAACAGAATATGTTCCTTCTTCTCCTGGGCTGTTAAGGAAGGAGTTGATGAACACCTTGGAAACGAGAGGGACGAGCTCCTTCGAAGTGCCGCCGGCGAGGACGACCACTTGGAAGTCCATTGCAGACGGAAGCCAGAGAAGAGTAAACACCCAAATGGAAAACAATACAAGAAAAGATGACTAATGGTAAGAGGAAATGAACCAGCAAAGAACTGAGGAATAACCAAGGCAGGCCGCGGAGGTTCATGCAGCTCAGGAGGGAACGGAGATTATTGGATATATTATGTATAACCATTAAGAGGACAAATTATTCAAATGGGGATGTAGCTCAAATGGTAGAGCGCTCGCTTTGCATGCGAGAGGTACAGGGTTCGATCCCCTGCATCTCCATTTTTCTTATATTTCCATGTTTTTATTTAACTTCTCTTTCAATTCATCAAAATTCACATACATAGTTGGCCCCATAACAAATGGAAAAGCTTATGGTATATGGCAATTTTGTGATGTGATAAAAGGTATGAATTTAATCTCAAAAAACTTTAGGGTAAATTACATATAGGTACCCAATACTTGGGGTAGTGACTTTGAACTTCAATTGTAACACTTGAATACTTTGAACTCTCAAAAATAGACACTTGGGTCCATCCATTAATATTCCGTCAGTTAAATATTATATAATGCAAAAAATACCCCTTCTTGTGTATTTTTGAAATCCTTCTTTAGAGTAAATTCATCGCTAGAAAATGTCATCATCGAAAAATTTGAACATTTTATTTGTTGTTCATGTGAGAACGCCATCATGTGGGAATGCCAATTACCTGAAAATGATCTCAAAAATACAGGATAAGGGTATTTTTGGCATTATGTAATGTTTAACTGATGGAATACTAACAAATGGACCAATGTGTTTGTTTTAGAGATTTCTAGGTACTTAAGTGTTACAATTGAAAGTTCAGGGTACCTATCTATCACTAACCCCAAAGTACAGGTATCTATCTATAATTTACCCAAAACTTTATATAAAAAAGGCCTATTTTCTTTCTTTCTCCCTTTGCATCCCAAATCCCTAAATTTTGTGGGTTTTTTTTGGAATTTTAAAAAAGAAATAAAAAACATCAAAATGTTTATACTCATCCACAACCAATTTAGTTTTCATATGTTTTGGACACTGAATCTAATGTTCTAATCACTCACTTTAAGATGGGCATTTAACACCATTCTATACATCGCCCAAGCCCCAAGTTTCTTCTAGTTATACTTTAAAAAGGATTGGGTTCATATCATGTTTTCTATTTTTCATCGTTGTGCCTCATATACCTCATACCCCTCTCAAATTTTTTGTTAAATTATTGGTTCTTTTAAAAAAAGAATGAACCATGAAGTCCCATCAAAATGTTTTCAACTTTTAAACTCCCATGTCCTACTAGGCTACTACTCCCTCAGTGGTCTTTTATTATTCACACACACACATATACCGACCCTAAAACCATGAGTTTCCTATTATGCCAAAGTTTAAAGAGTATTTGACCTTTATTCTTGGGAGGTATTATGATGTAGCACAATCCGGTCACTCCTAACTGGCGCTCGCGTGGCTCCTGAGATGTACCTGAAACGAGAGGAAGGAGGAAGAACTCCCAGGGGGTTTCCCGGCGGGAACGCTCCAATGCTTAAGTTAGTACTGTGTGCAAGAAGCTGAAATAGAATGAACACTAAGAGTGCTAGTTGCACTAGTCATTCAAGATACCTTGTTCCTTGAGGATAAGTTCCTTATAGCTGAATTCTGTTGCTCCCGACCCTCTGACTTCTGACAGAGCAGGTATAACCGCCACTGTCAGTCTGCCACAGCCGTTACAGGCAGGGCTGAGGTGGCACGCATGGGGCCGTTGTGTAGGGTACGTGTCTGTCAGGTGTGGGACGCCTTTCTAAAGGTGGCAGGCGCGACGAGGGGACATGCCTGCAATTCGCAGGTTTGTCGGGTACAACGGTCGGGCATGAGGCCCTCCTATGGTATACCGGGCTGTTCCCTGTGAATTTCCCTGAGCTGGGCCGTCCCTTGAGTGACGGGTTGCCTGCAGCCGGTTATGCCGAGCTAGCCGACTTGAGGTCTTTGTGCCTTGGGGCGTCCGAAGAAGAATCAGTGCGTTCTTGCTTGGGAGTGGCCCAATGTCCATTGAGAGGAGTTTGGGTCTCAAAAGGGGTTAGGGTGCCTTTAACTAGGGACCCCCGAAGTGCCTTATCCCCGGGGAGGAGGTGCGGGCGAGGCGGCTTTTGGCGAGTAGTTTACCTACCGAGTTGCCATGCTGACCGAGTTGTGCTCACGTCCGTTGTGCTGTCATGCTGAGTCACTGTTTGAGCTAGGTCACGCCTACATGTACCCGAGTTACGAGGTCGGGCCAAATCACCCTCCATCAATTGACCCCCACTCCCTGTGCTGGCGGCGGTGACCTAGCGCAGGGAGGTCATGACGTGCCGGGTGGATTTGGCGTCGGTGTTTGTGCTGCGTTGTCACGCGTCCCGTCCAGCCGTACCGGTCTAGCGCCTGGCTCGACCGAAAAGGGATTCGAGTCGCGTCCGGGTTATGCGCGGACTTCATGCGACTTGGACTTCGCAGACGTTAAAAATGCGCTAAATCGTTTTCGCCTCGAAGAACCCGCGGTTCCGGCTATAAATAGGGGGTCCCTTGGCCATTTTCTTCGCCACAAAGCTTTCACCGTTAGCGTTTGAGCTCGCGCCAGGGGTTTCTTAGCTCGGGTCCTCCAGTTCGCTCTGTTCTTCCAGTCCGGTTGCGTTTCTTTGGTGAGTCCTCCCGAGCTTCCTTTTCCCTTCTAGTTCGCTTCTTTCTGTTAGTCCGGTATGTCGTCCAGTGTAGACAGTCTCATTGACGAGCCCGAGGTAGGTACCTCGGCTCGGGATGTTCCCTCTGCTACCAAGCCATCCGAAGTACGGATGGCTTCGGGTCATCTGCCGTCTACCTCCCATCGAGGTCGGGAACCAGATCAGTTCGGGCCTTCCATAATGACCTTGGAGAGGCTTCAGGACCTCATACAGAGGTTCCGCCTCCCAAGCGAGTACTCATATAGTCTTCCCACCGGCAACTTCCCATGGGAGCACGGTCCCAACGAGATCGTGATCTTCAGGGAGCAAATGATAGCCGGGCTCAGACTTCCACTTCACCCTTTAATTGTTGAGGTGTTGGTACACTTTAATATTACCCTGGACCAACTCCACCCGAACTCCATACGGAATGTGGTGGGGTTCATTTCTCTTTGTTTTGACCGTTCCCTTTCCATAAATTTAGATGTTCTTAGTACGATCTTGGCTATAAAGAAGAGCGCTTCGGGCGCTCTCCCCGAGCATAGGCGGTCTTACTACCTGTCCCCCCGCCCGGGTTTTAAACTCATACACAAGCTCCCGAGCAAAGTCCCAGCTTGGAAGCGAAACTACTTCATAGTCCGGAGCAGCATGGGGTGGCCCTTCCCCACCGATTGGAGGATAGCCGTTCAAGACCCTGGTGTCATCCTGGACGGGAAGACCAAGAAGGAGCTCCAGTCCCTGGCTAAGCTCGGGTTGCATTATAAAGACTTCACTTCTGAGGAGAAGCTCGTCCGAGCAGGCTTGAGTCTGGGTAGGTTTTTCCCACTTTGGCTTTTCCACTCATATATTTGCTTCGGGTTACTGATGTCGTATTTCCCCGTACGTCCCATGGAGGCGGAAAAGATAGACAACCAGAAGCTCTTCCACCAGATGAAGAGGAAGAAGCACGTGGCAAAGAAGGCGCGCGTTGGGTCCCCGCAAGCTTCAGCTGAACCTCGACTTCCGCAGACTTCTGCTTCGGGGCAT